TATATTATGATGAATTAATTTTATAAGTTATGTTGTTGACAAATCTTTTTATTTTTCAGCTTTGAATTTGGTATTGTGGATGAGGATCATGCAGCTACTGTAGCTCTGCTGGAAGAATAGTTTAATGAATGTAGAATGTACCTTTTACATCATTAAAATATTAAAATTCTAATTTAATATCTACATATACTTTTGTTATATTTGTTGCGAAAAAAGACCTCACATGCTATGACCCTCTTTTTCATTTTCAAAAGAGGGCCATCACTCTCTTTCAGTATATCCGGGTATGCTGCCCAGTGGTGAGCTGTAGACTTGCTCAAGTCCATTGAAATACTTTTCAACATTACAATTAACATAAGGTCTGATTCATTCCATTTGTTATATGTTGAGGCAAAATTTTAATTTGTTAAACCTGAATTAATATAAAGTAACATACATGTTTTCAATGCATTACATTTGTACCAATAATAAAAAAATATTTTTACTTCTCTTTATCAAACAGTACTGAAATTGCTGGACTGAGAGGTACAAAATACCAAAATCTGTTCCTACAAAACATACTGGAATCTGATTAAGTTATGCAAATACATTGGTAGTTTATGGAAAAAGCCATTAACGAAGATCATAGATGTTTTTCAAACTAAATAATTTCATAATTTTAAAGGTAATATTTTGATCAGTCTTTTCTTCCCCCTCCTCTAAAAGAACAGTTGACATACCTGGGATTTCATTATCAATTTATTTTCAAGAAAAAACCCAAAATGAATTATTGATCTCTTGCTTGATAAATACAGTCATAAATATTAAGTGTCTTTCAATAACACTTACAACAAAAAACAAATGTAAAATGTCTAACTCCAGAAATGCATGTCACTAAAATGTTTAAGTCCTGAAATTTGGGAGTAAAATGTCTGAGTCCTAAACTCCGTGTCAGTAAAATGTCTAAGTTCTGAAATCCTTGTCAGAAAATGGCAATTATGTAGAAAAATCCAAGAGAATTTCCTCCAATTTTTTTTCTAAGCTTTAAAAATTTGCCTGGACCTTTACTTTTACATAAATACGTCAGTAATGCAGGAAATATCTGTCTGGGGTTTTCATTGGGCATGGATATTTTCACAAAAAATTCCACACGGATCTAGACAAGGAATCCGTGACCGTATGGAATACGCATGGAAAAATCCAAAAGTTGAAATAGCCGTACGGTTTCCAGTTTTTTCCATACAGATTCCGTGTCCCATTTTGGTACAGGCTAGACAGGTGTATCCACACTTTTTCAAATGTGATATCCTATTGTTTTGATATGGGAATCCAACTGTCTCACCCTAGGGTTGAGGTGAGGGGATTGATATGTCAGAACAATTATGACTTCACATCAAATTACACTGACATCATTCAACAATGCATTGAACCTGTAACATTAACATTGCATTAAATATATGACATAACAAGGGTAAGAGGAAAAGATCCTTGAACTCCATAAAGGTGAGATGTTCGATCTCAACACTCACTTGGCATGGTTCATGTTTGGCAACTTATACCGGTGGGAGTCTTGCCCTTTTAGTTTGAGATCCCCAATCTCATTCCCTCTAGTCACTACTGCATACATTAACAATTAAAATGTTTTAAAAAGTTGAGATATAAGCATTAAAATCAGAACAAGAGGCCCACAGGGCCTGTATCGCTCACCTGAATATTTAAGCAGTCACAGCAAATTATTCTCATTAAATATTATACTGTATATACAAATATTTCAATTGCAAACTTTGTCGGCTCAATCCGTTGAAGCTACCAGCCAAATATTATTATATGATTCTATGCTATTCGGTTCTTCAGAAGAGGTTGTTTGAAGTGTTTGACATATTTGTCCCTGTAACCTTGTAAGTAGCTCAAGGTCATTTTCCTTCTCAAACTTTGTTGGCTCTATCCCAAGCAGCTACCAGCCGAATCTTATGAATCCATGCGTTTTAGTTCTTCAGAACAAGTCGTTTGAAGTGTTGTTGACCTCTGTGACATTTAAAGTAGGTTGAAGTCATTTTCATTTGCATACTTTGATGAGCTCAATCCCAAGAAGCCACCAGCCAAACATTATGATTCTATGCCTTTCGTTTATTCAGAGTAAGTCATTTGAAGTTTTTTGACATATTTGACTCCAGTGACCTTGAAAGAAGGTCAAGGTCATTTTCATTCTCAAACAACATCGACCTCAATCCAAAGAGGATACCAGCAAAATATTAAGATTCTGTGACTTTCAGTTCTTCAGAAGTCATTTAAAGTGTTTGACACATTTTACCCATGTAAAATTGAAAATACGTCAAGGTCATCTCGTTCTCAAACTTTGCCAGGTTCTTACAAATGAAGCTTTCAGCCAAATATCATGACTCTAGACCTGTCCATTATTCAGAAGAAGTTGTTTGAATTGAATGAGAAATTTGAACCCTGTGACCTTGAAAGTAGGTCAAGGCCATTTTCTTTCTCAAACTCTCGCGGGCTCCACCAAAAGAAGCTACCTGAGCAACATTGAAAGTTTCTATACCTTTCAGTTTTTCCGAAGAAGTCGCTTCAAACGTTTGACATATTTGACTCCAGTGACCTTGAAAGGAGGTCAAGGTAATTTTCATTCGCAAACTTTGTCAGGCTCTTTCATGGTTCATACAAACTTTTGACCTCAAAATTTAAGGGTTTTTCAAGGGTTTTTCAAGACAAATTTTGAAAATTCAAGGGCTCATTTATATCGCAAAATAAACAAACAATTTTAATGAACATTAGGCCTTGAGGGACTGGGATTGAAGGAAAGTCATTGACATCTATGTTCGGATATGGATTAGGAACAATCGAGGCAGGTCTCGATGTACTTGCTGTTGACGTAGAGGGTTTGGTATAAAAGTCTGCCAAAGGCCGAGTCGAAGCAGTCCCCGAAAATTTTCACATGTTTTTGACTTTTCATATGTGATGTAAGGGCGTATTCCCCCATCTTGCCCAGATCGATAATTCTGTTACACAGCGAGCACAAAGCAGAAGTCATATCACCCTTGAACTCCCTCACCCAAAAAAATCTGGGATCATCAAGCCATTTGTGGTTAAAAACACACTTCCCCATCGCAGTTGTTCCATTTGTGTTCCCCTCCTGTTAACAATACTCGTCATGCGCATGACCATCTGTCACTTTGGCGCTTTGACTACGAGACTTACTCAATTCAAACGCAGTAATGATACAAATTGAAAAAGTAAAACCGGAAACTACATCTGTATATATTTTCCGGAATTATCAAAAATTACGATCTGCAATTTGACTATCAATCTGTGTTAAAAAAAAATATGTATGCGACGAATGTTTACCAAATACTGAATTTCAAGGGTTTTTCAAGGCTTACAGTAATTTTCAAGGGTTTTTGAAGACAGACATCAAATTCAAGGGTTTTTCAAGACCTGTGCGAACCATGTCTTTCCTAAGTAGCTACCAGCCAAAGATTCTAGGCCTGTCCATTCTTCAGAAGAAGTCGTTTAAAGGAAAAGATAACGGACGGACGACAGAAGATGGATTACAGACGACAGACGGATGGATGCCGCACCATGACATAAGCTCACTTGCCCTTCGGGCAGGTGAGCTAAAAATGGAAAATACACAATGTATTAAAATTAACTAAAAATCAACTTTTTGGGTACTTTTCCCCCCCCCAAAAAACTCAGTCTATCTGAATGCTAAGATTTTCATAAAATCACCTCTACATATAGTTACATAACCATTATGCGAAAGACATAACCATTATGTGAAAGTTTCAACAAATTCTGCTGGTTAATTGTGAAAGGGTTGAGCCTCCTTAAGTCCGAAACAATTGTGTATTAAAATTCCAAGAATTCATTAAAGTATTGAACTGTTTTTGTATGGCATTTATGATCTATTTGAATGGCAAAGCTGTGTCATTCAAATAGATCAAAATGGCCACACAAAAACAATTTAATGCTTATATTTACGTTTTCTCTGCCTTTGCCTTTTATTGTTTTTTTAAACTTACAAGTTATATTTAAAATTAAAATATTCCCGCTTTATCAAACTTGTTCAATAGCTGGAACAGTGTGTTGTCGCATGCATGCTGATTGGCAAAAAATGTAGTACTTTGAAAATTTAACAAACACTTGAATTTACTATCAATTAAATTGCGTATGATGTGTCTATAGGGTGATTTAAGTTTTTCAATAGAAATCTGAGACGAAAGTGTTTTAATTTTTAATCCAGAACAAATTTTGCACATGGTTAAACATATCTGACTTTCCCCTCATGAGTGAGTTATTTTTGAAAGTTGAATGGCGTGAATTTATTTGTTGATTGCATGGAAACCTGGCTCCAGTTGGTATATGCTACAACAGACTTGTTATTTGACATTTTGACAGAAATTGAGTGCTTACTTTTGTGATGTTGACACGGTCCTGTTATATGACTGGAATGAGGATTCGTTTTTGTGGTTAGACATAAATATGATATGCCTTGTCTCAAACTTTTGATCAAGTTTTCATTCCTGTCAGTGCATTGGTTCAAAATCAATGTCTGCCAATTTAATATTCGTTAATGTTTGATTACCGCTAGATGATAATTCATCACCAAAAAAGTTGGGCAAATCCAAGCAAAAAGTGGAAAGATTGTTTGATTCTGTCATGGTTAGATCAGTGCAGTGTAACAGACGATACTGTATTTCTAATAAAGTGTTTAATTTATTTTCATTGGTTATTTCAACCAATGTGCATTTTTTTTTACACATATTTACAATTACATTGTCAAGTCTCACAATGCCCTGGGATATTTCAGCTGCCAGCATGTTTGTTTACATTGGATATTGTAGTTCCAGTCTGTGTTGTATCAATACGCTAAGAATTGTGTCTCGTGGTGCATGACATTTTTAAGTCCCATCAACAACAAAGCTTTCAATTAGACTACATAGTGACAATGCCATGCAAATGTAAATATATCCCCTTATCTTTATTATGAGGAAGTTAAGCCAGCTTACCTGAGATCTAGAGACACAAGGTTCATAAAAAGGCTGATGTCTTGGTGAAGTGTCGTAAAGCAGTTGAAACCAAGGTTAAGTACTTTCAGAGTGTCCTGTAGCAGCATAAGACTGGTAAGGGAGAAAACAAAATATTAGACTATTCAAGGGAAAACCGTATGTCGCATGCTTTATGACATCATAATTATGCTGATTCCAATGTGGGCCGAACTTACTCCAAACTGCCTGTCCAAGCTTGCTACAAAGCAAGCCATCCAATTTTCTGACAGAAAAAGTTGAATAGTTCTTCAAATGTGGACATGTTAGCCCATTTCTAATTATTTCATGAAAGTAGCTCAAGGTCATTTTCATTCTCAAACTTTGTCAGGCTCTATCCAAGGAAGCTATCAGCCAAATATGAAGATTCTATACCTATCAGTTCTTCAGAAGAAGTCGCTTGAAGCGTTTGACACATTTGACCCCTGTGACCTTGTTTGTAGGTCAAGGTCATTTTCATTCTCAAACTTTGTCATGCTCGATCCCAAGAAGCTTCCATTCAAATGTGAAGATTCTATACCTTTCAGTTCATATGAGAAGTCATTTGAAGCATTTGACACATTTGAACCCTGTGACCTTGAAAGTAGGTCAAGGTCATTTTCGTTCTCAAACTTTTTCAGGATTCTACCAGCAAAGCTTTTAGCTACATATAATGACTCTATGCATGACTGTTCTTCAGAAGAAGTTGTTTAAAGGAAAAGTTGACGGATGACGATGGATGACTGATGGACGGATGACAGACTGATGACAGATGCTGCACCAAGACATAAGCCCACTTGCCTTTGGGGCAAGTGAGCTAAAAATGGGCCGAACTTGCCCCAATCTTCCCTAACTAGAACATATTTTTTTTAGTATTCACTTTCGTCGAATCAAAACTAAACTAATTCAAGATATGCAATACTCATGTTTGATTTTCTGTTGCAACAATTCAGTCCGAGCTCCAAATAGATGATGTGCTCCACACTCAAATTCATACAAGGCATCACAAGTGATACAAATCCCCTCACATTCACACATTGTGACATATGTAAGAGGAAATGAAGTCGCTTGAGTGCTGACCATTTTTTTTCTAAAAATAGTAAGGGATTGACCTTGACCTTCAACATAGAAATCTGTTGAAGAATGAAGTTGCTAGCGCAATGACAAAGAGTGTAACAGTAACGTACATACGTACGGGCGGAATCCTATATCCACTCAAACTTTCGTGGCAGGGGGACAGTAAGCATGTTCCTGTTATATTTGCTTGCTTTAGAAAAAAGCAATTTTCAAATCACAGTTTTCAGCAACAACCATATGTATTTCATATTTAACCCCACATTCTACTATAAAAACAATCAATGTCGTGATCTTCTAGGCCCGATCGTTTAATTTTTTAATTTTTGTTCTCATTATCGGACTAGTAAGCAAAAAATATATAAAACAGAGAAAATGATCGGGCTTAGAAGCTAAGGTTCCCAAAGCTATATCAGCCTTAAAATCATCGCAAATTATATCAGCGATGTAGGAGAATCTAGACGTGTCAGTCCCATGTTAAGTGATGCAAAATGACACATTCATGTGCATTCTGCACATTGAATAATTTGTTTAAATTCCCCTTTTGGGATAAACTAAACATTAAATAAATATGAGTTATGCTGTGCATTGTACCTTAATTACTAGCAAAAGGTAAACAGTATGTTTAAGCAAATTCTATGATACTAGAAAACAACATATTATAATCATGTAAATGTATCTTAATGATCATTTACACTAACTTGAAACCACAGGTGGAAATACAGGTAACAAGAGGCCCAACCTTAAAAGTGCATGATCTAAAACAAAGCTACAGGTAAAATATCAGTATTTATGATTAAAAGTCATTCAAAAGAACCTATTAAAAGATTTAAAAACATTTCACCCCTTTGACCTTGAAAGTCGAACAAGGTGATTTTGTTGAACAGATTTTATAGCCCTTTATCTCGGGATGCAACTTTCAAAATATCACCACCCTATCCTTTTATTTATTAAAATTAGGTCATTTAAGGAGGCTCCACCCTTTCGCAATTAGCCAGCAGAATTCAATGAAAGTTTCACATAATGGTTATGTCACTATGTAGATATGATTTTATGAAAATCTCAGCATTCCGATAAACTGGGGATTTTTTTGTAAAAAAGACCAAAAAAATGATTTTTTGTCAAATTCAACACTTTCACATTTTTTGAGCCTGTGGCATTGTTCAAAACTATAACAACAATATAATAATGAAAGAAGCATTGCTAATTAACCCTACAAATATTTTATTTATCATAAAATATCTACAACATGTTACACAAAACGTTTTTTATTGAAATTGTATGGATAAAAGTGACTAAATACAAGCTAAAAGCAAACAGGACACATAGTTTCATTTAAAAAGAGTGAAAAATTGAACCAAATACACACAAAGTCTTCATAATTAATTTATTTTACATTTTACAATAATTTTGATCCTGGTGAGAGTTGTCTACCTTGAAAAAAATCGGAACTTTTTGCCGAGGGATAGAATTTATACAATGACACTTATTTACTATACCAAAAACGACGGAAATAAATTAAATTCCTATATTTAAATGTCAATTTACTGTTCTTTTATGGAACAAAATTACTCTCAATTATGTACACTTTGGACATCATTCCATAGCCAGCTTACGCATGGTATATTAACATGTCAGGTACATATGTAACCATAGGCTATCGCAAGGTATGCCATTATTACGTGCACGCACATGCACTTGCATTTCATAGGGATCTTGATATTTTACAAACCACTATTTTCACAGAGTTATTGTTATTGCATTTGTGAACCGATTTAACTGACAGAGCGTAACTCGCTCGACAAAAAAAATCGTAGCGACCAAGAGCTTGTGAACTTCTGTTAGCACGTGTCGTTGATACGTACAGGTGAGGTCGGTAAACAAAATACACCAGTCTGCATTCATGATTCCATGCGCCTCATATACGACCTTCTTGAAGTCGTCTGATCGTATGTCAGTGTTTTCCCGTGAGTTAATTAATGTCTTTGTATCATGAGCTTTATTTCTGAAGTACGTGTGATTACACATTTCCAAGTTAAACCTCGATATAGGGTGTTGAAATATCATTGTAACGCACGTGTACTATTGTTTACCCGGTGTTACTATAATTTACACTACGGTAATGGAATGCCCGATACGCAATACGGAAATGACGACACGAAAATACGAGAAGAAAAAAATGTGTATTACGAACGGTGGAAAGTCCTTAAATGTTTATACATATTTGACCAAATGTGACCTTGAAAGTGGGTCAATGTCATTCCCATGAAAAAGCTTGATAGCCCTTCATCCAAGCATACTATTGGCTAAATATCAATATTCTTGGATTAATGGTTATATCATCACCATCCATATAAGTCCGCTAAAACTGACCATAAATTCTGATCGGTCGCCATCTTTCTTCTACCCATATGCACATCACTCCCCGTTTCTTCGTCGATACGAGGTGCAAAATCAGACATTGGTATCATGTCATGAACCCGACCCAACACTGCAATATCTTTGGGTCCGAAAACCTCAAAATCATTATCATCATTGTCCTAGTCAATGTCAAACAATTCTCGTAAAAAATCAGAGTCTGAGTCGTCGGTGTCAGCTGCCATGTTTGTTTACCCTTGAAACCACTCGATTGATAAATGAGGTCAACAATTCATAAATTGGAACATTTAACATGATTTGATAGACATGTTCCCTTTTAACCAATCAGAAGTCATGTTACGAACGCCCAAAGTTTGTAGAAGCTTCTAGAACATTTAATAGCATGTTTACCTGAAGATCAATTATAGTCGCGACCAGCGCTGGTGGACCGCGATGTGGGGCCCGACTGTAGTCGGGACACACACTCTAAGGGTTAAAGGAAAAGTTGACGACGACGGATGGCAGATTGATGATGGACAGAGGACGGACACTGCCGTTTGGCATAAGCTCACTATGGTCAAATATCATCACACTAGACATTTGGTTATTCAGAAGAAGTTATTTTAAGTAAAAAGATGATGTTATTCAGACGCCCAACCATAGCATAAGCTCACCTGGCCCAAAGGACCCAATTGTCAATGGGTGGGGTACTGCTAGATACAAGTTGTTTCACAACTAAAACAATTGTCAATGGGTGGGATACTGATTGATACAAGTCTTATAACTCCCAAAACAATTGTCAATGAGTGGGATACTGATAGATACAAGTTTTTTTACCCCTTAAAAAGTTATCAATGGGTGGGGGGCTACTGATCGATACAAAATGTATTACTCCTAAAACAATTGTCAATGGGTGGGGTACTGATAGATACAAGTTTTATTACTCCTAAAACAATTGTCAATGGGTGGAATACTGATCGATACAAGTTTTATTACTCCTAAAACAATTGTCAATGGGTGGGGAACTGTTCGATACAAGTTTAATTACTCCTAAAACAATTGTCAATGGGTGGGGTACTGATAGATACAAGTTTTATTACTCCTAAAACAATTGTCAATGGGTGGGGTACGGATAGATATACATGCATGTATATCCTATTGGCTTACTCCTTCCCCTAAATGATCAAACATCTTGTTATGAAACAAATCATAACAAATATTTTATACATTTCAGGATACAGATGAGACACTCACTTGTTGGGTAAGTCTGAAAACTTGTTTTTACTGATGTCAACTGTCATGACTCCAGACTTTTCTGCTACAGCCCATACATCTAGTGGTACGTCTGTGGCTTGCTTCCCACTGTCAAAGAGAAAAATTGTTAAAAAATATCTAAATTAATAATTTACACAAGAGATCCCAGACCCCCCATTGTAATTGTAAGATCCATATTTGTTCTGTTAATTTGATCTTTTTTCTTTCTTCTTTATTGGATTGATAGTTTTGTGAACAGTAGATGCATTTTAAATTTCATATAGTTGGTATTTCTTCAATTCTTTAGGTTGGTAGGTTGAAATTGTATAATATTGTTAATATACATCTAGCACAACCAGTGGAATGTTTATTTGTGACCAAATGGCAATAAAATCACAGTTATTTTGGCTACAATATAAGGGTGTATACACTTTATGCATGAAATAAAGATTATATCAACAAATCGATTCAGCTACACTTTGTTTAACACTTGGTCATAGATGTGTGGAGTCTATGAGCCCCTTTATCTTGATTCAGATCTGGCAGACTGTGATGAATCAGTAAGGCTTCCTTTATACCCCACTTGAAAATGTTGCTGTCTCATTTTAACAATTTGGAATTTTCCCTGTCAAAAGCATGCTTTTGCTGTGTAGTATGATCTGTGATTATGAGGTATTAAAAATAGAGCACTGGAATCGAATCATCAATTTGATTGTAATTTCAAACATTCATAACAACACAAGAGGCCCAGAGGGCCTTTATCGCTCACCTGGATATCTAAGCAATCATGGCAAAATATTCTCCAAATGAGATCTAAGGGAATATGCCAGACCCCAAGGCCAATCCTTGTAGCGTATCTGTATTATATTTTTCATGCCCAGCAATTTTATGAATGATTATGGGGTGAGGATCTCAACTGTTTCCGAGCTGTGACTCAGAAACTAGGTCCCTAAGGGTTGTGACCAGACCCCAGGATCAATTCTAATATCATTACTGCATTCGTCTCTTTTTGCCCAGCATTTGTATTTATAGTTTTGGGGTGGGGATCTCAACCGTTTCAAAGTTATAACCCAGGGGTTAAGTCTGCAAGGGGGGGGCAGACCCTTGGGTCAATTATAATGTCATGACTGCATTCGTCTCTTTATGCTCAACAATTGTATATATAGTTTTGGGGTGGGAATCTTAACCATTTCAAAGTTATGACCCAGGGGTTAAGTTTCAAAGGGTGGGGCAGACCCCAAGGCCATCCTGGAAGCAAATGTGCATTCATCTCTTTATACTCAGCAATTGTATATATGGTTATAGGGTTGGGATCACAACTGTTTCCAAGCTGTGACTAAGAAACTAGGTCCCTAGGGGTTTAGTCAGACCCCAGGATCTATTCTAATATCATGACTGCATTCGTCTCTTTATGCCCAGCATTTGTATATATAGTTTTGGGGTGGTGATCTCAACCGTTTTAAAGTTATGACCCAGGCACTATGTGTCCAAGGGTGGGGCCAGACCCTAGGGCCATCCTGAAGGCAAATGTGCATTCTTCTCTTTACACTCAGCAATTGTATATATGGTTATACGGTGGGGATCTCAACCATTTCCAAGTAATAAACTTTGTTTGGCCCCAACATTTGTACAATTTTGAATCCCTGCCTCCAAAGAATGCTTTTGATCAAATATGATTGATATCCAGTGCATAGTTCTACAGAAGATGTTTGTAGCAATATAGCCAATTCGCCCTCTTTAAGCCCTGCCCCTCAACCCCCTGGGGGGTCAGCTCAACCATTTGTACAATTTTGAATCTCTACTACTTAGGGATGCCTCCAGTCAAATATGGTTGATATCCATTTTTTGGTTCCAGAGAAGAAGTTGCTTAAAGCCATATAGCCAAATAGCCCCTTTTTGCCAGCCCCTCTGCGCCCAGGGGCCCTACGGTAGAAGAAGAATTTTAAAGGTTTTACCTCTATTTCCCCTATTGGGCCCCACCCCTCTGCCCCCAGGGTGGCCACACCCACCATTTATACAAAATTGAGTGCCCGTGGCCCAAGGATGTTCCAAGCCAAATTAAGTGAAATTCCACCAAGCGGTTTAGGACAAGTAGCGTTTTAAAGGAAAAGTTGACGGACGGACGCTGCGCCATGGCATAAGCTCACCTGCCCTTCAGTGATTTTGACTGGTCAGTGTTACCTTCAGGGACATTGACTGGTCAGTGTTACCTTTAACGAATTTGATAGTCAATGTTTCCTATACTGACTTGAACTGCTAAGTGTTTACTTTAGTTATATGGACCAGTCAGTTTTACCTACAGGAACTTGGACTGGTCAGTGTTACCTTAAGTGAATTTGACTGGTCAATGTTTCCTTTACTGAATAGGACTGCTGAGTGTTTCCTTTAGTGACATGGACTGGTCAGTTGTATCCTTACTGACTTAGACTGGTCAGTGTTACCTTCAGTAAGTTGGACTGGTCAGTGTTACCTTCAGTGACTTGGACTGGTCAGTGTTACCTTCAGTAAGTTGGACTGGTCAATGTTACCTTCAAAGCTTTGGACTGGCCAGTATATCCTTCAGTGATTTTGACTGGTCAGTGTTACCTTTAGGGACATTGACTGGTCAGTGTTACCTTTAACGAATTTGATGGTCAATGTTTCCTTTACTGACTTGAACTGCTAAGTGTTTACTTTAGTTACATGGACCAGTAAGTTTTATCCTTACTGACTTGGACTTGTCAGTGTTACCTTCAGTGACTTGGACTGGTTGGTGTTACATTTACTGACTTTGACTGGTTAGAATTACCATAACTGACTAAGACTGGTCAGTGTTACCTTCAGTGACGTTGACTGGTTTAGTGTTACATGAAGTGAGTTGGACTGGTCAGTGTTACCTTCAGTGACTTGGACTGGTCAGTGCTACCTTAAGTGAGTTGGAATGGTCAGTGCTACCTTCAGTGACTTTGATTGGTCAGTGTTACCTTTAGCGAATTTGACTGGTCAATGTTTCCTTTACTGACTTGAACTGCTAAGTGTTTACTTTAGTTACATGGACCAGTCAGTTTTATCCTTACTGAATTGGACTTGTCAGTGTAACTTTCAGTGACTTGGACTGGTTAGTGTTACATTTACTGACTTTAACTGGTTAGAGTTACCATAACTGACTTAGACTGGTCAGTGTTACCTTCAGTGACGTTGACAGGTTTAGTGTTACATGAAGTGAGTTGGACTGGTCAGTGTTACCTTAAGTGAGTTGGAATGGTCAGTGCTACCTTCAGTGACTTTGATTGGTCAGTGTTACCTTTAGCGAATTTGACTGGTCAATGTTTCCTTTACTGACTTGAACTGCTAAGTGTTTACTTTAGTTACATGGACCAGTCAGTTTTATCCTTACTGAATTGGACTTGTCAGTGTAACTTTCAGTGACTTGGACTGGTTAGTGTTACATTTACTGACTTTAACTGGTTAGAGTTACCATAACTGACTTAGACTGGTCAGTGTTACCTTCAGTGACGTTGACAGGTTTAGTGTTACATGAAGTGAGTTGGACTGGTCAGTGTTACCTTAAGTGAGTTGGAATGGTCAGTGCTACCTTCAGTGACTTTGATTGGTCAGTGTTACCTTTAGCGAATTTGACTGGTCAATGTTTCCTTTACTGACTTGAACTGCTTAGTGTTTACTTTAGTTACATGGACCAGTCAGTTTTATCCTTACTGACTTTGACTTGTCAGTGTTACCTTCAGTGACTTGGACTGGTTAGTGTTACATTTACTGACTTTGACTGGTTAGAGTAACCATAACTGACTTAGACTGGTCAGTGTTACCTTCAGTGACTTTGACTGGTTAGTGTTACATGAAGTGAGTTGGACTGGACAGTCACTAGTGTTACCTTCAGTGACTTGGACTGGTCAGGGTTACCTTCAGTAAGTTGGACTGGTCAATGGTACATTAAGTGCTTTGGACTGGCCAGTATTATAACCTTCAGTGATTTTGACTAGTCAGTTTTACCAACAGGAACTTGGACTGGTCAGTGTTACCTTTAGTGAATTTGACTGGTCAATGTTTCCTTTACTGAATAGGACTGCTGAGTGTTTCCTTTAGTGACATGGACTGGTCAGTTGTATCGTTACTGACTTAGACTGGTCAGTGTTACCTTCAGGGACTTTGACTGGTCAGTGTTACCTTTAGCGAATTTGACTGGTCAATGTTTCCTTTACTGACTTGAACTGCTAAGTGTTTACTTTAGTTACATGGACCAGTCAGTTTTATCCTTACTGATTTGGACTTGTCAGTGTAACCTTCAGTGACTTGGACTGGTTAGTGCTACCTTCAGTGACTTTGATTGGTCAGTGTTACCTTTAGCGAATTTGACTGGTCAATGTTTCCTTTACTGACTTGAACTGCTAAGTGTTTACTTTAGTTACATGGACCAGTCAGTTTTATCCTTACTGATTTGGACTTGTCAGTGTAACCTTCAGTGACTTGGACTGGTTAGTGCTACCTTCAGTGACTTTGATTGGTCAGTGTTACCTTTAGCGAATTTGACTGGTCAATGTTTCCTTTACTGACTTGAACTGCTAAGTGTTTACTTTAGTTACATGGACCAGTCAGTTTTATCCTTACTGAATTGGACTTGTCAGTGTAACCTTCAGTGACTTGGACTGGTTAGTGTTACATTTACTGACTTTAACTGGTTAGAGTTACCATAACTGCATGACTTAGACTGGTCAGTGTTACCTTCAGTGACTTTGACTGGTTAGTGTTATATGAAGTGATTTGGACTGGTCAGTGTTACCTTCAGTGACTTAGACTGGTCAGTGTTACCTTCAGTAAGTTGGACTGGTCAATGTTACCTTAAGTGCTTTGGACTGGCCAGTATAACCTTCAGTGATTTTGACTGGTCAGTTTTACCTACAGGAACTTGGACTGGTCAGTGTTACCTTAAGTGAATTTGACTGGTCAATGTTTCCTTTACTGAATAGGACTGTTGAGTGTTTCCTTTAGTGACATGGACTGGTCAGTTGTATCCTTACTGACTTAGACTGGTCAGTGTTACCTTCAGTAAGTTGGACTGGTCAGTGTTACCTTCAGTGACTTGGACTGGTCAGTGTTACCTTCAGTAAGTT